CGGTTATACGTGAATCGGCTACATCCAGATCGCGGTTGTGGTCTTTCGTGGAAAATGACACGGAGCAAGCTGTAAAATCCAAATCATCGTCCGAACGGTCCCGATGCCGATTAGGGCTAGGGTCGCGTTGCTGCCGGCTTGTGTCCCTGTGTGGTCCTTGTGCGGCCGGCCCCCGATCGAAGTGCAGATTCTCGACTGAATGTCGACAAAGTTTGTAAATCGTGTACACCATTATTACCTACAACTTCATTCATGGATCGACTCTACTACAAATTACACACCTCCAAAGGTCAGAGGTTGAATGTTTAAGCTCTGATGCATTTCTTCCCTTGAGTGAACGCGCGCGCGGTACCTCCTCAATCCGTGTACCGATGTCCGCAGTCAGAGATATCTTCCGTTTTGTCAGACCGTCTGTTGTTGTGGTTGTTGTTGTCGGATTTCGAAGATGTCTCGCGCCGGTAAGCCCGTGCATAGCTTACACGGATGCTTCTAAAACGAATCAAGCGAAATGATGACTTTTTTAACCCGTGGCGCTTCACGATGACTATCCTTCAAAATCGCTTATCTTCGTTGAGCATTGAGGAGTCCTGAAATCATACGTCGCTGATATTTCAAGATTGCTCACTTCATGAAAGGGAACCGTGAATCAGACTTCAGGTCTAAACATCAGGAGCTCTGTAGCTCTATCAGGGCAGCAATATTCCCCGGGAGGGATCGCAAACCCGTGATGATCATGGCGGAAAAATAGTTTCCAAGCTGAACCATGAATGTCCGATTGGGGAAATGCTCCGTCGTCGCCGACGATGACTCATCAGGCCGAGTTTCCTCTCAATGGAAGGAACGCAAAATCTGAGAGTTCGAACCCGGACGCTCATACTTTCAAAACTGGTCGTCCTCCCGCCGGATGTTCCACAGTAGAACTCGATGCCCCGAGGAAACTTTCCGATGGGTGCGTTTTCCACGTGCTCCAGCTTTTTCGAATGCGTTCGACTTGACGTTCCACGAATTTTTGATTGGCGACCGCTCCGCGCACCTACGAAGCAAGGCAATAGTTGCATTGCCGGTGAAGAGTGGCGGTACTTCGTTGACGCCGAGTCGACTGACTTGCTCGCGCGGCTGCTAGGCGTCAGGCGTATCCTAGCAGTGTCTGACCTCCTCATGGGGGAGTTGGTCGATGGGTTGTCGATTTTCGAAAGAAAAGCAGACGGGCACGCTTTTTAGAAATCATCGCTGCTTGCATTGATCGCTCGGGCAGCGAAGCACCTCGAAGCATTTGATCGATGTGTTTATGATTGACAGCCGTTTTGGAACTGAGGACTGACGGACTGAAGGGCCACTAGCGCTCATAACCGTCCGCATCGATGTATGGATGGATGAATGAATGGATGGATATATGAATCGACGGTACCGATTGACAATCGGACGTTGGGTCGGTCGATGGATAGATGAATGGATGAGTCGACTGACTGACTGAGTGATTGATTCACGCGATTATTTGAGTGGATCGGACCGCGGCTTGATGGAAAGGTAACGCCGACCCAAGCTGCGATGAAACTTCAGAGTCATCGCCGGCCAGGTTGGCTCGGTGCCTACAAGATAGACAAACAGACGAGTAGGCACAGTGAATGACTGACGGCTGGTCGGACGGCTCGTCCGGTCCTTCGTCCGTTGATCTGACTGCGAAAGTTACAGCGCTGATTTAATAAAAAGCAAGTAACCCGAGAGAGACCCAGCAGCGCTGGGGCAGAGCCGTCTCGCAACGTCATCGCGTGTACTGTTGATAAAAGTTGCAGCAGCGGCGGCCGCCGCCAACATACCAGGGTCAAGCCACTGTTATGCGTTACTTATTTGGAAAATATTTCCAAAAAACTCATCGAACACTTGACAGATCGACTTCACAACCGATCGGGTCTCGGCCGTATCGACATAAGTGACCAACGGACACTTGATCACGATGCGACGCTGTACACGACTTCGAAGAGCTGACAGCGTCCCGGGCAGGACTCGTCCTTTATTGGGTGTCTCGGCCGCAATGTACGGCGGGAGCGCTATTTCGATCCGGGGCGACCCACTGCCTATACCTTCGGTTCCGAGCTCCGATCCCAATCGACAGAGAAAGTCGGCGAATGGTGATCATTGAACTCGTAAAACGATGCTTGAAGTTGAAAAGGTTACCGACGGGATGGACAGGAGCAATTTGTAGAAGAGATTTTCGTTCTGTTGCCCCCTCCCGATTTTAAAGCCTTTGTTGTGTTTTTGTCGTCTCCACTCGTCTTTTTCCCCGCCGCAGGCCGGCATTGCGGCAGCCCCGTGTCAATAAAGATCACACTTTACGGTGGTAATGGTATTCTCGAGCAAGTTAGGCGCCGGCGAGTCTTCTTTGCTGTGTGCTGGCTGCTCTTGGCTGGGCGTACATCACGATGAGGGTCGAAATCAATTTTTACGCTAGATGCGCTCGCTTTCGAACTTCGTCGACAACCCGTTTTCGACAACCTCTGTAGAGGTTTTTTCTTTCTCGCTAACGTTCACTTTCTGAATCCGTTGTTGTATCCTCCGATATACACCGACCTGCAGCCAGCCAGCCAGCCTGTTCGCCCGCCATGCGGCGATAGGACTGGCTAGGAGTCAGTAGTAAAACATAGAGGTTTTCATGCTTCTATTCTCGCGGCGAGGAAGAGACCCGACGAAGCGATATGATATAATTCACGAGAAAATATCGTGTTTTGAGCGGTGTCGGCGGCGCTCTGAGCTTCGCATCGTTCGTGGACTACACCCGAAAGGAAACTTCTAGTCTGCGTTCATACCTCGTTTTTGTTCAAGGCATAAATTCTCGGAGGTGACCTCTTTGACTTCATCACTTCCATCGATGAGCCTGTTCGAGACCGTACGATGCAGCAGAAGATTTCTGACCGAAGCCAGGCGACGGCTTCGCTCTCCATCCAGAAGCAATCGATTAATATCACTCTCCTCTCATCCTGCATTAGGAACCATGTTCTCGTGGGCGGCGACTATTATCTGTCGTAGTCCGACGCCATAATTAATCCGCCTTCCAGGAAGCGATGATTCGTCTGTTGCATGAAATAATTCGGTATTAGACGTTTGGCCGGTTATTGTGACGGCTCATTCGGCGCCGCTATCGACCCGAGAAGATTTTCAGCGACCGGAAAGCGAGGGATGGCGAGCGAGAGATTTTCAGCCCGAGAAAAATTCGCGCGGTTCATGAATAAAACGTTCTACCTCCGACACAATGAAAAGATCTGACATGGGAGCTGTTGAGGGAGACTGTTGAGACGGTTTGGACTGGAACAGACAGGTCGGCGTGGACTGCATTCGTTATAGAGTACTTGTCTATCCGATTTCAGTCGGTGCGGATAGCCGTCAGAATAATGCATACGCAAACGCCGCCTTGTGTTTTCCTCTCCTGTATGATATCAGATTTCTGGTTCGGGTCGAATCTTGCGCTCCTAGAGGGTACTCCGGTCGATGCGGCAATCAGAATCGCACGGCGAACGTGGTGCTAATCGTCGTGAGGAAATCTAACTGTGATTGATCGCGCGAAGGAAATCAATCAGAGATGAGCCAAGTACACATCGCGAATTGAAGCATCGCGATCAACAATTACGGTCAACATATTTCGACATCGACAATCCTTGCCATCTTCAGTTCAAGTCCGAGGTTGAAAGGCGCCGCGGCATTCGGCCTCGAGCGTGACAACGGACTTGCCTTCCGCAAGATAAGAATCAGAGAGCTTCGACCAAGGGAGGCATCGGCTCACCACGGTTGTGACTTGTGACTGTGAACTCTTTGGCGAGCTGGGCTATCCCTCTGATGATAGAGGCATTCCCGGAGAAACTGCCGAAATCTGAATTCAATTCTGCGGTCTTTCGAGGATTCATCGCTGCGTCTCGACTCGCGACGTCTTCAACGGAAATCTCAACTCGTGTTCCGGCAGCAAGGGAGACTGCCCGATTCCGGTATGCCCGGCGAGACCTGCAATGAGAGTCAGCTACGCTCTCCGGACGACCGACACTGAGTACCGGCGCTCGTCTGAGCGCGATCTCTCCTCTTTTATTCTCCAAGATCTCTGAAATGTTAGCGGATGGAACATACGTGCGTTATTTGTCTTCCCATCTCCCTAGCTTGAATCCGCATTCACCTCGAGGCATACCCGTCAGCGTCTTCGGGGGTTGTTGTTGAGCCATCGGGTCGACTCATGACGGGCCCGGAAGAGCTCCCGCGAGAGTCGAATTATCATAGAAAATTCTGAGAATCTCGGAGACTTCTTTTGTGCGCAGAAAAAATCGGGGGAGCGAAAATCTCTGTGAAGCCACCGACTGCTCGGAGCTTGAGCACGGACCCGAGGATGCAACGAGTAAAGATCAGGAAGATTCCCTCCAGAACTCTCAAACTTGATCGAGAGCCCACGAGTCATCTAGCGCTGCGATGTCGCCGAGAGTGCGCTCGAGTTCAGATCATGCAAGGGTGACCTTATTCGGAAAATGGGAAACGAAATCTCTCTTGAGATCGAGAAGGGCGTAGACCCACCCATCTTCTGCCGATATGTCGCTCCGAGAATTATTCTTGAAAGTTTTGGATATTCATCAATACTGCCAAGGTTCTGTCGCCTTTCGAGAGTCCCGTGTGGAGCGAGAGCCTACGAATGGTCAAGATCGAGTCCAGTGTCAGATACTCGAAAGATTTCTGAAGCGAAAAAATCGCTCGAGGCGGTATAGAGCGAATTTGGCGGCGTGAGATCATACACTCAAGATCGGAACAAAAACTTCACGTGATCTCTCGCTGCTCTCATTCGTCTGATGGAGGAATGAATTCCCACGGACGGTATTCCGGGATGTCGCGACCTCGAATCCGCTATTTCCTCGAGTTCTTCGGGGCAGTCCCAATAGATTGGAGATCGACGCCCAGCTCGTGTGGCTCAAGTGCGCCCGCCCGTTCTCTATATCGCAGAACAATGCATCCATCCGGTTGCTCCGAACGTAAATAGTGTGGACGATTGTGAACTGTGGGGGATCTGCGCGGAAGAAACTTACCAGAGTGGAAGTGACTTCCAGCTCGGCAAATTGCTGTGATGTTTGCGCTTAGATATCCTGCAGCTCTGGTCACCGCTAGATCTGTGCTATCGGGTCTTACGACTCGTGGGACTGGTTCATTCAAGTCACCGCTCCATGTAGAAAATGCCTACGGCTCAAAACCAGAGGACATAGCGAACAGCCCTCCGGTAAAGTCGGCGGAATCATTTGACGCAAAATGCCAGAGTGAACAAATCGGATATCGATTCTCCTTATTCACCCCGCTACTCCATTGCAGCCGCCCGCAGGAACAGACACGTTCACCGGCTATATTCCCATGAGTGAGTTGCGCGTGCGGTGTCCGGATAGATCCCGATAGGCGTTATCCCAGCAGAAGCTCAGTCTAAAATACGCGTAATATCTTTCAGAGGAGCTCATCATAAAGCATTGCAAAAGCAGTGGACCCGGTGGTCAAAATGGCGATAAAGGTGAGAAAATTTGTCGGGACTCTCTCTCGGAGAGCTGAAGCAGGAGAGTTGCAGTCCTATACCTGACGGACTCTTTGAGAGTGAGATTGAATGAATCCGATCTCGTTCACAGTGAATACGAAAGCCGAAGTCCGGTTCCATCTCGACTCGGCGGCTTGGATACCCGGGGAAGCTAGAGAGAGGCTCAAGAAATTGGTATGTCGTCCTATTTTGCTCCGTGCGCGGATAGATATCTGGAATCTTTTGCGCAACTGAGCCGTCGGAGTTCATGAACATTCCCAATCGATTTCCTTCAGTGCGCCAGCAGCATCAACAAAGAGGGATTTATCATTTTCTCCTCTGAACGAACGCGGAAACAATTCCTCAACACAGCGGACTGCATCGATCGCATTCGAAGCGTCGTATTCGAGGCTTGCAAGAAACCACCCGAAATCACCGAAGATACGAAACTGATGCTCAAGAAACGGTAATCGATCGGATTATAATAATTTGTGGAAAACTTCTCCCGATCACAATGCCGGATGAGCTTGCGAGAGGAGGAATCTGGGGTCGCTATCACGTATACAGCGAATACTCGTTTATTTGCGAACATTCGTTTTCAGACTCGAGCGGGCAGCAGCGGCTCGATTACGGGAAAAAAGGCACAATTCTCAGTTGCGACGAGAGAGAGCTGCATCTCAGAATTTCTGAAGGAATCGTTTCGCCCCGGTGTCTTGTACATGAGCAGAACGTGTTAGGATATTAAAGGAATGCGGATTCTTCACCAAGTCTCGGCTTCTGTTTCCCGAATGCGGCCTCCCTCTCGGCGTCCGTGCTCCGCTTTGTAAGCCGTGTCTATGATCGAATCTCGATGAAGGTTGATCGTCGTTTCGTGGAGCCCAGGTTGTTTGCTCCTCTGTAAGCTCAGTGCGTCAAGAGCACGTTGAGCATATGGTTTATCGAGTACAGAATCAGATTAGCATCCTTCGGGACAGCTTTTCCCATGGACAAAATGCAGCTCAATGACTCACGGCCGAATGCCAGGAATTCCGCCAGCGGGACTTCGAACACTCTACCAGTTTTCGGCTCCTTCACGGTCCACGTTGAGATGGTCTCCGAGAGTTTTTGATAAATTGACATCAGATCTCTGGGCGTTACTTCCTTGGCCAAGACGATGTCTTTGTCGGCGAAACCTGCGTAAACCAGGATCACAACTCGACAAAGCGTGTGAGCGAATGCGGGAAAAGTGAAGCGAGGGATCCGATGCTTACTGATGAATTGAACGATTCGAGTTCCGAGACAACGGGCCCCGATCTTGGCTGCCAGTCCTCGGGCCTTCATGATGTCGATTTGGCTCAGAGTTCGAGTTCCTCTACAAGGTTGGAATCTATCGTCCTCTCGTGAGACTCCGTTTTCAGAAGCAACCACATGAACGACGAATATTAGAGCAGAAAGCGCGGATAGCTTCATTTGAATACTGCTCAACTTGAACTAGTCCTTCTGGGTGGTCGAGTCCCTCCGGAAGGTCATTAGCGGGGATCGGCTGTCCAAATAGTCGTCTTGATCTGCGAGGAAAAGGTATTGCAATCTTGGGTCGAGTTCTTGCGCGAGCTTGAACACACAAGAGCATTCGATTCTCCAGGTGCATCGGCGGAAAATGAGAGCTCAAATCATAAGCTTCCCTGGAGGGCAGGATGGATCAATTTATTGTATGAACGCTCTCGAGGTCTGAGATCAGTACGAAGGTATTGCGGTTCATGGAATCACAAGAAGACTACACGACAGTTCCCCCGTAATGTAGACTCTCAGACAGCGGAATGTTCCCCAGTCTCCCTGAGGCTCTCGTGGTCCTATCGAGATCATATGTGAGATTTTTTCAAATGCCGTCGGTGTTCGAAGAGAAGGACTCGTCTGACATGTCTTCTTCCTGTTTCTGATATTCGAAAATCAGATCTTCGACGTCTTCGAAAGCGTCCCGGATGTCGTTTATAGACATACCCTCACAGAGATAACTGGAATGGATGCGAAAATATACTTTGAGCTCCTCATGCCATCACATGGGATCGGAGTCGAAATAAACCGTCAGGGGTATCGCACGCCATCTACAGTCAATGAGTAACAATGACTGATGGACTTATGACTCACGAATGTACGAAAGCCCGTTTCGAGAATAATAAGTCGAATTTTCGCGTCATCCGCTTGAAGATGCCCTTGACCGCTGTGTTCGCTGAGAGCATGCTCAAAGCGTCTGAGATCTGGAAAATGGTGGAGCGGGGGACTCGAGGTTGGCGCGGAATCTTCAAATTGTGCTGATCAGGCAAGCTAGGGCTCGTTCCGAATGATCATAACTTGTCCCGGAACTCACTTCGCCGAAGACACTTTGTTCTGGATAGATCGGCGGAGCAGGGACGTGGCCAACCTTGAAGGCCGGAGGACACCAAGATGCGGTCGTGGTTTGCTTGAGTCCCTTGATCTTGGTGATCGATTGCTGCACATCCACGGGCTGTGAGGGTCCGCGGTACAGCAAGCAGCATGCAATGCACCGACCGTCTCTCGGATCCCACGAGACCAAATCGGCCTTGCTCTCGAGCAATTCGCGGGTCATTGTTTTCACGCATGTGAGAACTTTCCCGGGGCCGACAACGGGAGCGAAGCTCAACTTGTAAGGGGAATATTGGTTTGAATTCTCCTCATGAACTTCAGAGCAAAGCTCCAAAAGATCTCTAGATCCATGGAACTGAAGACATCAACTCACCCCAGGGAAATGGAGCTTCCGGGAAGGCACGAGGTTTGTGCTGAAGTCACCAATATCCATGTTCTGTCCGCAGGAGGCTCTTAGCGCTAGCGTCGTTGAAGATATCGCCTGGGCGATCAGTAGATTTACACTTTCATCATCAACTTCTGCGCCTCTTCGAAGATTTGCGCGGAGTAAGTTGTAGACGGCCTCATTGTCCAGGACGAAAGTGCAATCGATTGTTGGCAAGGTCGACTGAGTTGACAGCACCGCGTTGTACGGCTCCACGGGAATCGACGAAATGTTCGGTGAAGGGAATAAGGCGAACTCCAAGCGACTTTTCTGTTGGTACTCTGAGTACAGATGCTCTAGAAGCAGGGCTGCGAAACCCGAACCCGTCCCACCTGATATGGACCGAGAGAAAATGAAACCCTGGAATGAATCACATCTTTCGACCATGCGTCGGATCTCGTGCAGAGTCGACTCCAAGATGTCTGGTCCGGTTCGGTAGCGACCCCACGCGAAGTTGTTTGCGGCGCTCTCACTCCCACTGATCAGGAAGGACGGGTTGAAAATTCTCCTGGAAGCGCTCGATCACGTACTCGGTGTTTCCTCATCACGCTGGATCCGGAACCCTCAACGCCGATAGAGGAATTGGAGGAGGAAGGACAGTGCTAGTCGGTACGAAGCTGATTCCGACTTACCCGTTCGGACTCTTCCGCAAAGCGTCGATGGCGTCAGGTTCCGAATCAACAAAAACTGCTCTCGGGAAAAACTTCCCGTTCGCTCCGTAGAACACGCACTCTGGGTTGTCGTAAGCTCCACAGGTCGTCTCCTGGCTCCAGGTACCATCACATGAAACGCCATGCTCTAAACAGAGCAATTTCCAGAGAGCTTCACCGATTTTCACACCCGCCTGTCCGATATTTACGTTGACGATTTCTCGCATGATTTGTGTTCGTGTGAGCTGTTCGGCAAGCCAAATCTCGACCCATGGCCACGCGCTTCGATCACACGTGCGCGTTGCATACAAATTAGACGACCGAATTCTCATTCAACTGAACAGCTGATAGGTCACGCAAGCCTCTTGACTTGACGAGCCAGAATCTTCGTCACGTCAAGTGAGCATTTATTTTGGTCAATTACGAACGATACCTTTTACCTATCAGGGGAATCAGGTACGAGATACTCTATGAACGATACAGGTACGAACATAAGGATACGATGAATGAGCCGAGTTGCCCTCCAAGATCCTTCGAAAAACTTCAGTTCGACGCGTGTTTCTGGTTGTACATTTCGCTGACAGCTTTGTACACTCGTCTCGAGGCCTCTTGCTCGGATATTCGGTTCCTCTTCTCCGAGGCATACACGGCTCCGAGACTCTGCAGCGACAGTATGTTCTGATCCTGGAAAAAACATATGGCATTGGCGACTTGCATGGTGGTATCGACGGTGTACACAGTATCCAACGCATATCACACGGAGAGGAGAGAAATTATCCAAGACATCGTCGATGTTCCCTTACCAGATCGTAGATTTCCTCAGAGAGCCCCTGATCCGCCTGGTCGGCGACAACTCTGTGCAGAATCCTCATCAAGCAGTCTGAAGTTTCCTCAACGAGCTCGGTGTTCTGTGAACCATGGAATACACTAGTGAGAGAGCTTTCATAGTGTGGCAGCGGTCTCAAAATACCAGGGGAGAGTCGTGTTGGTTTCAGTCCATAAAAGATCCTGAAGGCTTAGGCGCGGGGGATACCGGGGATGCAGAAACCGTGTCACGAAAACTTTCCGAGAGGTCCTCGCTCGTATAATGTATCAAGCTCCGACTCCCTCACTCTTTGAGATTTGAGACCATGTCGATAAATGTTAATGGAACGTAAACGAGTCGGCCAAACGGTCACACGTCCACCCAAAGGACGTGGCCCTAAAACCCACGTCGGAAGGCATACCATTCGGCTCTTCTGTGATGAGGTCAACGTCATTTCGAAGGTGGAATTCAGGAAGTGCACCAAAGGATAATCCTTCCGACATACACCGGAGAATCCCGCGGTTATCGTTCCCCTGAGGCGCGGAAATTCGAAGAGCTGAGCTCCCTCGCTCAATTTGGGAACATGTGGTGTCGATCAGGGACGGTCCCGACTCTGGGATCTCTCCTGATACACGGAGTTCCCGAACGATGGATTCGAATCTGAGGATCGGAGGTTGAGGCACAATAATACACGTTGGGCGCCAAGATTTCGACGGAGCGCGTCATCATTCGCTGCAGTCGTTCTCTCTCTCCGAGCGGCTTAGGGACAATAATAATAACACGCGGCGACGAGATTTGCCCAGCGGTACTGATTTTCGGGAGTCCGTATTCAGTGAGCTTTGTCAAGTTTCGCGGGTGTGTTCACACTTCTCGTTAACGAGATGGAAGAGAAAAAGAAACGTTGTCAACCCCGATGGGTCTCGCCCGAATGCCGGGAAGTGCCGTTGAAGCTGTACAACTCCCTGACCAGGGACAAGGAGATCTTCGTTCCTCAGAACGGCGGCCGGCGTGTCACTTGGTATAACTGCGGCCCGACCGTGTACGATGCGTCACACATGGGCCATGCTCGGTCGTACATCTCATTCGACATAATCCGCAGAGTTCTCAGTAGTTATTTCGGATACGATGTGTTCTACGTGATGAACATCACCGATATCGATGACAAGATTATCAGACGTGCCCGGCAGAACTTTCTTTTCGAACAGTACCGCGCAGCCCCCAATAGTTCGAGTACAGTTGTTGGGGATGGAAAAATCGCCGTGGAAAAACTCCGTCAGAAAATTTTACAAGAAGAAGACAAGGATAAGAAAGCTATGCTCGAGAGGTGAGTGTCGTCCGCCTACACGTCAGAGGAGTGCGGTCCACACCCATATGGTCGAGCGAGATACTACGGAATAATACGGTCTGCCCATCCAGGCTAGCGTGCCCTTTAAGGCAATTTTTTTGTGAAATCCTAATCGAGATGAACTATGGATAGGGTCAGATCCCTGTTAGAGGAACCCGAGTTCCTCCCGCATTGAGTTGCAACTGAGAATTTCCCACGATTCCGCCGTCGATGGACCGGAACCTCCGTCGAAGAGTGGACATTTGAATTTCGATTTCTTCTCGACCGAATCGCCGTCATCTGATTACATCCGCTCATCGGGTTTTTCCTCAATTCCAGATTGGTATCAGCTGCCGACGAAGCCTTAGCGAACCCAGCTGACGAAACTGCTCTGTGGACCGCGCTCAAAGATCCGCTTGCAGACTGGCTAGATTCGAAGATGGGTTCTACGGTCACCGATCACTCGATATTCAACAAGTTGTCCAGGCATTTCGAAGAAGAATATTTTGCAGACATGAAAGCTCTGAATGTCCTCCCACCGGATGTCGTCACCAGGGTGTCGGAATACGTTCCAGAAATCGTTGAATACGTCGAGAAGATCATCGCGCAGGGTTTCGCCTACGAGTACCAGGGCTCGGTCTACTTCGATACGAATAAGTTCGACAAGTCCAATGGCCATTTCTACGCCAAACTCCTCCCGGAAGCATTCGGAGACGAGAAGGCTCTTCAAGAAGGCGAGGGAGATCTCTGTCAAGGTGCTCAGAAAAAGAGCGCTTCAGATTTCGCTCTGTGGAAGGCATCGAAACCCGGCGAGCCGGAGTGGGATTCGCCCTGGGGCAAGGGTCGCCCGGGATGGCACATCGAATGCTCGGTCATGGCTTCGGCTTTGCTCGGCGAGAGCATGGACATACATTCTGGAGGTTACGATCTGAAGTTCCCTCACCATGATAACGAGATCGCGCAGTCCGAGGCGTATTTCGGTAACGATAATTGGGTCCGATACTTTCTACATTCGGGCCATCTTACAATCTCTGGTTGCAAAATGTCGAAGTCGTTGAAGAACTTCGTTTCTATAAAAGACGCGTTGAAAAAGAACACGGCGCGTCAACTTCGATTGGCATTTCTGCTCCACCAATGGAAAGACACATTGGACTACAGTGAAAACACGATGGAGATCGCGATGCAATATGAAAAAGTTTTCAACGAGTTTTTCCTATCGGTCAAGGACGTCCTTCGCGTGTCAGGCAACACGGCCACCGAATCGTTCCTCAAGTGGACTAAGGACGAATCGCAATTGAACCTCGTATTCCAAAATTCTAGACAAAATGTACATTCTGCCCTCTGTGATAATATTGATACTCGGAGCGCGTTGGACGCTCTGAGGGAATCTGTGTCAGCTGCAAACGTGTACATGCGTGAGAAAAAAGCAGCCAAGACGCCTCTGAACGCCGTTCTCCTGAGGAGCATCGCTTCGTACTCCACGTACATCCTTCGCGTGTTCGGCGCGATTGAGACTCCGGACTCTATCGGATTTCCGACAGGGTCTGGAGGAGACTGCGACAGCGTCGAGGCTCTAGTCACCCCGTACTTGACAACTCTTTCCGATTTCCGTGACGAGGTCCGTACCTTGGCGCGTGAGACGAAGCAATTGGACATTCTGAAAGTTTGTGACGCACTTCGCGATGATGTCCTGCCGGAGCTGGGAGTTCGTCTGGAGGACCATGAAGGTCAGCCGACCGTGGTCAAGCTCAGTGACAGAGAAACGCTCCTGAGGGAAAAGCAAGCCAAATTGAAAGCAGAGGAGAAGAGGCGTCTCGAGAAGGAAGCCAAGAAGCAAGAGAAAGCTGCCGCAGACGCTGAAAAGGATCGCATTCGGAGAATAGCTCCCCAGGATCTATTCAAGAGTGAGACGGATAAGTACAGCGCTTTCGACGAAACAGGTCTACCTACCCATGACGCTGCAGGCAAAGAAGTGAGCAAAGGTCTGCAGAAGAAGTTGAAGAAAATTCAGCAAGCTCATGAAAAGAAACACCAGGAATTCCTCGCTGAGCAGGGCTCCAGGGCGTCTTGAACTCAATCAGACTGAGCTTGGTGCTTGAATAAATTTATTTATTGAGATATCTCGCATTCCTTCTTTATCTCGGAAAGAGCGTGCGGATCACGGCCGCCATGGAGCCGCACAGCGAGGAGGGCGGACATTGGCCCTGTTTCGCTTTTCGAATGTGTTCGAGATTGATTTCCGCCCGATGGATTCCTACTTAAGAAAAGGGCTCCTCTTCTGAAGCGTGGTGCTCTTGGCTTTCTTTATTCACGATAATTATCATATAAGGCCACTCATCCACTTTCTGCCAGCTCGGACGGTTCTCCGAGGAAAAGGCGTTTCCTCGACGTGTTCATGAAGGGCTTCAAACTCCACTCAGAGTCTAGCGCCGCAGCCTCATCGATGGATCCCAGTTTTATATCATAGAGCTTCAACTCGAACCTAGGACCGACTTCCTGCAGCTCGACCTGTCCGTCCGTCTGATTATACGTGTGGTGTCTGCGGAAACAAGAAGACGACAATCGATCACGGCTCAGTCGGAAGGTTCGGAGTACCAGTGGATCTGGTAGAAGGATTCGAGATGGAGGAGTTCGGGTCTTACCTGAACAAGATATAATCGTCCACATTTGCGAAAGATATGACCCGTTTCGAATTTTCTTTCGGAACAGGGAATAGGTACTTGAGGATCTTCTCGACCCGTATCCCGAGATTCGTGGTGAAGTTGTTGAACAAGAGATGTGGGTACGCTTCGGACATCGTCCCGATATCCGGAATTTCATGTCTGTTCGGGGAAAATAGGAAGTCGATCGAGTCCCCTCCGGATATTGGGTCATTAGGCACTGAGCTCGAGCATCCATATCACTACAATCGATCCCCGGAAACGGGAGTGTCGTCCTACCTCATGACGGCATTATATATCGTGAAATAGGCCGTCGGTCCATAGGGTAGATGACTGATAACTAAACCATCAGGCTTCCCTCTGGTTTCCTGGACAATTATGAAATCTGTAACGTCGTTCGCTCTGCACGCCGTGATGAGTTCTTTGAGATCGTATGTTCCTGAGGACGGAGGTCTCAAACGTGAGCCAATAACTCCTGATAGGCCCGAAATATTCATGGCTGACTCTGTTTAGGTGGATCACTCTCCAATTGATATTCGCAAACCTCTGTTCATCTTCTGAGCATTCGGGAAAAGCAACTTCAGTTCTTTCGCGAATTGTTTCAACGATGACGAAGGGTCATGTGTCGTGGTGATCACGATTTTCGGGTCCGTAACACCCGCCCAGCGATACTCGTCATCTTCCGCATTATGGGACAGAGGCTGTAGGAAATTCAGAGGGTCTTACTCAGAGAAATCGGTCATTCTTCCCAAAGGCGCGGCGCTCTGGAGAAAAAACGTTCGGCGGACCTTCAACTTACAGCGCTCAAGTCCCATTCAAGTGAATCTTGTAGCTTCAAAGCTTCCGTTCGGAGTTCTGTGGGGAGCGGTTTATTACTCTCCACAGCGTTCTTCAACTTTTCCTTCTTCGATTCTATCGCTTTGCGTCTCTCATCGACCGTTTTATTGTAGAGGTATTCTCGTCTTTCTCGAGCTAATCGACGCAACATCTCGACTCTGGAATGAGGAGAGGCGTTGAGAGGTAATCACAGCGGAACTGAAGTCACCGATGAAAAGTTCCCTTTATATGACTCGATGCGAGACTCGACGCAAATGCAACAGTATTCGAACTGGCTGCATCCTCAGCCGTTTTTCTCATTACGCAAGATTTCAGGTCGATATTCGAGCCATTGAAACACACCTTGTATTCAATCGATGGGGAGCAATGAAACTTCGTTAAAATCACATAGATCCCAGCCGGACCAAGATCCCTAGGCACAACTCTGGGCGAACTCCACTGCTTTCGCCTCGATTATTGAGAAATTGAGAACACCGCGGAGAAGACAGCAGCACGTGGGATTTGTTTTTGCCGAACGGTATTCCGCCGTTTAAGCTAAGGTACGGATGGATCGCGCATGGCTCTTTCTCCGATGGATTCGACAGTCGCCGGTGAATTCGGCGAGAGCCAAGAAACCGGCCAGTGTTGCGGAGATCACGTCCAATAGCAGCCATTTATGGATTTCAACGAGCATATCCAATATAGTGAGATGGAGCAATCGAAATCGTAGCGCTGCGGTAGAGGCCAACCCTTCGAAAACCTTTCCCCGGTCGGCTTGCGGACCCCGACAATACTACGTGCTCCTCACAAGTCGGCGGCTTTAGGCGCCCCGTCGTCATTGGGAAGCCGTCGGATATTGAGAAAAAACTTGGACTGATCGGACACTTGACTTTTATAGGACAGAAATCGCATGGAAGATTGACGCTCCAGACAAGAAAAAATACACGCCCAAACAGGGACTCGAACCCTGGACCCTTAGGTTAAAAGCCTAATGCTCTACCGACTGAGCTATCTGGGCGCTTGGAGAATTTAGTGTTTGATAGAATTCTATTGATCAAAGCTCGGACGGACAGTTCGGTTTCGCTCCGAAAAACCTATTCTTCCGACTCCCAGTGATCGGGACAGTAGCAGACGAGTAGGGGAGGAGAAAAATGAGACGCATATTCTACACGGAGGTCCGATCGGAACCGGCAATACCGGTTGGAAAACAGTTTCTATGCGCGCATCATTCGCTTATTTTGGGCAACTCGACGCGGGCATCGGATCGGGAGCGATTCTCGGCAAGATATCCGTCATCCAAGCTATGCTCCCTCGAATTGTCATTGATGAGAGACATTTCAATAAATGTCAATCGAGCGCCCTGATTCTGCCCACAGCGGCCCGGCGGTTGGCTGATTTTGAGCGCAATTGAGAACAAATGGGAGAGGCTCTGTCTCCCTAGCCTTCCTTCCTCCGTGTACACGAATGTATGTCAGACGTCAGTGTCTCCTTAGGGCGTTTTGAATTCTTCTGATCGACAATCAATCGGATCCCCCAAACGAGGGTAATGATTAATGATTATTACGTCCATCATCATTAGACCCCGTGACTTCATGCAAAATGCATATATTGCACAAAAATGCATATCCTGGGCTTTTTCCCCCGAAAAAACATATTCTGGGACATGAAGCATAATTATGAATATCCCATATTTTCCCCGCCGATCCTGCGGGGATCCGCGAGAGTCCGCGAAAATGAGAGCGACGTACAGCCACCCCAGCCAGTTTCGACGAGATGGGGTCCTTGGTTGAACGCAGCGCTTTATTACGCCGACCGCTTGGATTCATTCTCGAAGGTTTTGGACGGTTTGGACGTCAGTGACGCTGCGAGCATCGGAGCGGCTGCTTAAATAGTGAGGAACCCTCTGTGAGGGACAATCTCGCTTTTATAGAAGCTCTCACTTCGGAGAGCTTCCGCATACCATCGAGAAACTGGAAACAGAGGAACTGTCTGTGGTAGAAAGCGTGGGTATCGTTGAGGCGCTTGTGAGAGATCTCGAGAAAAGACCCGGTGATGTCGGGGATTCGGTCCATTGGAAATGCGATGCGGTTGTGATTCGTAATGGCGGCTTCAGCATTCTGAAGGATATCTCGGTCGTACTTCAGGGGGGTAGCCCCGCGGATCATCTTATTGGCCGCGACCCGTCGGAGATCGCCTGGTTCAAGAACGCATCGATCACGTCGGTTAATGTAGAGAGGAGCTTCTCTAGTTCGAAGCACCTTCACAGCGACCGTCTTCAGAGTGTTACGTTTGAAAAGTTGAAGATGCATCTCGTTGTCTACCGTAATACGTGATTCGAGTTGTGCCTGTGTTTAGCAGGATTGAGTCAATCTCAAAAAGCATCGTAAAAGCTGCACGAAGCCCTCAATTTGTTGCGTGCATATTTCTTTTTCCTCAAAGCATATATTGGCCCTTTCTCAGGGCATATTTGCATGCATATGTCCCTATTTTTAGGGCATGAAGTCATGGGCTCTAATCATCATCGTGCATTCCCAGGATGCTTTCTGCGCCCATCGCCCGCCGCGAATGAGAAGCCACCCTGATTTGGTGACCTAAATCAATGAAATTAATGCGGGAAGTACAGTGATGTAGCACCAATGTCCAGCTCGGACTTCGTGATTCGGACGGCCGTTCTCCAAATGAGGAGAGCTTCCCTCTCTACTTGTCCGCAGCCAGACACCACGATTTCCTGCAAGAAGAAGCTCAGGGGCGATCTCAGGAGAAATTGTTAAGGGATCGAGACTGACTGGAAGTGCGATATTAGAGGATGGGTCCTTCTTTGTCCGCTTTCTGGGGTTTTCCATAGAATATAGAATGTTAACTTTCCGGAATTCTCGAGGAAATAGCAATGATTTCCATTGAATATCGGATATTTCCCTGTTCTCGGAACCGAGGGCTCGACGCCGCGAGCCTGAGGCAAGGGTTTGATGGGAAATTTCCTCCTAGAAGCGGATCGTCTCTGACCGATTGTGGATCGATTCCGTTATCCACTCGAGGGTTGCTTATCAGGAGCCTGCTCCGATTTCTGAATGGGCCGGACATGGGACGAAAAGTCTGCTCCTGGAGCCCGCGTGGGAATTATTCGTTCGGGGAGAGAATATCGTCTCATATCGATACAAGCAGAAGCCTAGGGAAAAAAGTATGGCCTCTAGATTCCGCGTTGAATCAGTTCTGGCTATAAGGTCTCGGAAGTCTGACGGCATGACGATCCCTCGTGCTTAATGGAGACTGATCCGAGGGGTATACGGAAGTGCCGTCTCAGATCTCGAACCGAGTGCTTTCCTCATGGCAGACAGCCCGTATCCCCAGGCTACGAGCAGCCTCGTCGTTGTCCATCGGCAAGAGGATGCTGAAATATGACCATGGTGCTGGAATTCTTTGCGAGTATCCGGAATTTACACGATTTATCGAGACGGATTATCGTTTGTGGCTGCTTACGAGTCTAACCCTCAGACCTGAACGAACTGTTCGGAGGCGACCGCTATCGCGGGAAGGTGTTTTCGAATCGCATCGGTGTGGCTCTTCTTCTAGACCTCGCATTTCTGTGAGTGATGCGTCGAGACAGCTAGAAGGATTCGAGAGTCTGAAAATCCTCGGGGCCCTTGTTTGGTAGGCGGTGTCTCCGCCAAAAGATAATCGACGCCCGGATTATGCTCACTCAGGTCCGCATGAGCATTCAGACACCGAGAATGATGCACTCATGTGTCATGTGCTTTCTACGGGGCCGGATCTCGATCTAGGGTACTGCCGGTTCCATACGCCACGGCCATCCAAGGAACCCTGCGAGGGTGCTGATCTGAAACTGAGACTCTGAGGCCCGCTGATCCTGGGACGAGACAGGAAAGCTCGATGGAGGATCTCGTATGGTAGATGTGGGACCAGATGCATTGATGGGACGAACTGTAATCCTGCAGCGCTCGAGAACTTCTGCTAAGACGGAGCATAGTGAAACGGATAGGACGGAACCTTGACCGACAGGAATTTCGAGTATTGCTCTAGAGTCCAATGCGTGACGCGGCTCTCTCGGGCAGTCCGCGATATTCCACGTCGGCAGCCCGTGGAAGCCGCGGGCAAGGAGGATTCAAGACCTCTGATGCGAAAAATGTGGCTCGTAGCAGAAGAACTCCATTCCCTCGGGGAGCCGACCGTGGGCTACCGTTGAGTCATTCATAAGCACGAAAACATGATACCTGTCATATCGAGAGCCGGAAGAGATCCCCATTGAGATCTCAGAGATCCCTCCCGATCGAAACCGATCGTGAATCAGTTCGGTTCCTGAGCAGTTTCTGCCCAGAGTGAATCAGGTCGGTCGAACTATGATTCTAGACAGCGAAATTCTGCTATCCGTGTCCAAGATTCCTCCAATATGCTCGGCGCCGGGGCTCGATGGCGACCGGGGGACTCAGCGTCGTTTTACTCGCTGTCCGTCGGCCGATGGCTCTCACAGACGCACAACTTTTGGATTCAGGCACGTGATCGGTCGATATGATTCGAAAATACAAACTCCGAAGAGCTGTCTTCTAATCTGATGCATTCAGATCATAGCGATTGCCCCTCGTAGACTAGGGACACGGAAAGAGCCCAAAAAGATGAACAAGAGCTGAATATCCAGAGTTCCAATCTAATGTTGACGTTGCGTCAAGATACCAGACATGACGCGATTCCCTCGCTCTCTTCTTCCCGGAGTTTGGATCCATAAACCATTGATTCGGGGAGCGAGAGCCGTGTATTCTGCTATGAAACTTCGTGTGAGGATCCTCTTTGAGAGCACCGTCCCGGATGCGGAGGTCTCGGAGCACTCGACGACCGCGTCCTTTGGTCTTTGCTGATCTGAGTGCATGGATGTCCCGGGAGCTGGAAGCGCCCTTTCCGCGGGAATACGTCTCGGATTCCGGTTAGGCGTCGACTTGCTTGCCCCGCTGCATCCTCGATGCTCGAAGCGACGGCTCTCCCTATAGACTACCCACATCGTATTGCGTCAGAAGATTCGAGCTTCGAATGGTATAGATGACGAGCGGCCGATTCGGAGAACGGAGAAAACCGCATTGCTCATTCTCCTGACTATTCCAATACTTCGAATAGAGGGATTCAATTCTTACAGATGAATCCATAATCGATCCGAAGTCTTAGACCGAGGAATGTATGTTCAAGACAAGAACCCGCAACAAGGAACTCAATAAAAAAGATTTAGTCTATCATGTGTTCCCAAATTCATAGAGGCCGAGAAATTCGAGATCGGCCGACGAATAACGAAATTCAGAACACGAACGCGTTCCGAAACATCCGACCGTCTACGGTGTGGGGAGTAGAGGAGCTCCGGCGCGGGCGGCAGAAAATTCGGTTCGCTCGGATTTTGGAAACCGATTTCTCACAAAGAGGAAGGCGATAAAATCGGGATCCCGACGCCGCTAATTGCGCTGGGATCCCGAGCATGAGCTCCACAAGTCACAAGGATCGCCGGGCAAAGACGAGGAGCACTGAGTGGTTCACTAAGGGATCAGGGCTGCTCACTGTCGGCGAGAACCTCTCATTCCACAAGAGTTTACCGAACAACATCAAAAACCATCCGAGGGAGTACATTAGGAGCAAGGGACGACGTTCCGCGGCTCATATCGATGTGAATCTCCGATCACGATTCTGCAGACGCAGATGAGCGCTCGTCGAGCTAGATGCTCCGCCGTCAATATCTAAAGGGGACCCTCTCATTGAAGCCAACGGTCCGGACGGAGCAGCGTTTGTTGTCGGGGCCGGTAGTGCAGGGTACATGGCTCCGCCTTGCTCCCTCGCTCTGGGTAAATACTGACACAAAGCCTATGTAGTTCGACAAGCACTCCGCTAGGCGGGTGCCCTCCATTCTCGGATGGTTTCCCTTCAGAAACAATTCTCGTGTGGAACAGATGCATCTCTTGCGATGACGTCCCTCGTCGTTCACAATCGCTCCGAAGTTATTATTCCGTGTCCATCGCACGACGATTGAGGCGCCCTTCTGTTTCCTCGAATTCTCCCTTCACCGATCGAAAGAGAAGAGGGATCGGGTCATAAACGGCTCTCCGTTCTTTCTCCTTAGTCTCCGCACGAATATCTCCCCATGGTGTTTAGGACCTTCGGCTATGTGGTTCCGACTGATGGCTGTGGTGGACGAAAAAGAGCGAGTCTGATGAGCCAGAAACCATTCGCGGAGGTGATAGTTCGTCTCATGATGATAATTTTTCTCATGAGAGAGACAAAAAACTTCGGGGGGGGGGGTGACTGCATGAAGAGCCTGTTCATATCGACGTGTGGAGTCAAATCACGAATTCCAATACGGGAAAGGAAACTGAGTATCGAAGAAAGGGACTGGGTGTTTCAGACCCAGTCGGGTCCCGGGACACGTCAGGAGGAATGGGAATCGACGGCTCCCGGTCAGTGCTGGGTGAGGGGAATCATTGCATACGGATGCGAGCCCGTCGCCACAGGAAAATTCATCAATCTCGTAGGCAGGAGGACCTTGGACCCAGCGCGTTCGCCGGAAGACTTGGTTAAGCGGGAGGATCAACCGGAGTCGACGTATGTTGCGCTTCGGGGAGCCTACAGCTTTGAGCCTTCGCGGTTCGTTCTGTGTGACAGCCTATTACAGGCCTAGAGGCGATCATTCTGGAGGAATAACGAGATAACTGATTTCTCGCGGACGCGTCATGGTTCCGTTCTCGATTTGATGAATTATCCCCATCATTGCTCGGGGAGAGGGCTCCTGCATATTGCCCTCATCGTCATAAATGCCAGAGCTGTGGATATCGAGGAGCGCTTCGCTCGGTCGCGGGAATTCTTTCCCAAGCGCTACACGACATGAGGGAGCCCTTGGTGCCTCCTCCTATCGAAACGATCATTCGACTCCGCAGCGTAATTTTTCGCTTGATTCAATTCTCTCGACGCCGCGGTCAAGCGCTGATAAGGCTCACGGGCTCGAGCACTTCTCCTTATGGTTGAGCAGCCTCACATATGGGAATCGCTCGAAGCTCATGGAGCTCTCGCGATACTCCAAGGAAACCCTGAAGTGACCCTCCAGCCTCCAGGAAGGGAATTCCACCGCTCAATCGAGTCTTTCCTGCTCCGGAACGATCCACTCATTTTTGAAGTCACCTCCCGGATCCCTCTTCTCATTGATTCACGGAATGTGTGTCCCAGTGATCGTGGGCAGCTGACGTATAGCTTGCGATAACAGCAAGTGAAATTCCTCAATAAGACCCGATTATCCGTCATCGAGGAATCATCTGTGAAACGGGGACTGACAAAAATGAACTGACCGGGAATACTACACAGCAAGGCGAAGAGAGGGAGACATTCGAATGTCGAATCGCGTGAGGGCTCGTGCCCGGGTCGCCAGTGGTCAACGAGCCCGTGAAGCGCGGGTTACGAGTTCCTTCGACTGTGGATAGACTCCGGTCCCGTATCCAAAATACGGGCCCACAACGATAAATCGGAATCTTGAATAAGATATCCTCCACCGCTTTTGTTTCCGAAACAGCTCAAGCGCCGGATATATCCCGGATCGCTCGCATAAATTCGCTCGATGACCTCTCGAAGCTAGAAGGTCGGGAGCGAGAGCCGGTGGTCCCTCGGGAAGATCCGACGGGAAGGAATCAGAAACGCGCTGGATCGGAGATTCGAGCGAGTGTAGAACATCGAACGATCGCAATTCGGTCCGGTTGTGACCGCTGAAGCTCCCAGATTCCTGACTGAATTCAGCGGCTCAGCAACTTTTTCCCTCGCTGACAAATTCCTCCCCTTGCTCCGCTTGCGAGTCCTTTGGACAAAACAGCGACTCGGCGCGCGGGCCAGCAAGCCAGCTCTCAGGCAGTAGTCGTTTCCTCGGTGGATGTCATCGTTGCCTTCGTTGCCATCGTCGTCGTTGTTGTTGCCGTCGCTGCTGTTCCCTTCCTCGTTTGGATAGCGGGCGTGGTTTTCCGTAGGAGGCGCTTAAGGCGTCGCAGCAGCGAGGGAGAAGCCGACGGTGTCGGTCCAACGAGCGAGCGAGCAGGCGGGCAGGCGGGCGGCCGAGCGGCGGTAGTGGTGAGGGAGCAGCGAGGAGGAGCCAAACGGCCCTGTGTGCCGAACAAACAGCGAGCCGCCAGCCAGCCAGCTCTCATATTTACATTAGATACACACATCTAAGCTGAAGTGGTCGTCGCCAGCCGTCGCTAGCTGCCGATCGAAGTTCGAGGCGAGAAAGCAAGCGAGCCAAGCCAGCCACCGAAGATTCGCTTCGACAACCAGCCAACTTGACAACAACGACGACGACAACAACGACGACAACAACTGGCAAAAAATCCTCGACGCCTCCTCGAAATTGTCCGAGGGGACTAGGAACAACTCCGATCAACCGTCCGATCGACCGACCAGCCATCTCCATCTTTACCACAATCGCCACCACCAGCGACAACAACAACGTCTTGTCCGACACCAACAGGGACAACAACAACGCAATTATCATCATCATCAAGTTTGACGTTGACTTCAACGGCAGTGCCAACAGTGACGCGAGCGACGTCGACTCGAACGTCGATCCTGTTGCTCCTTTTCATCATCACCATCATCAGTGCTCCCGTGGTCTCCATCATCGCCTTGTGTCCTCGCAGAGACGAGGTTGTCGTCCACTCGCTCACCGAGAAGTTCCTCGAGCTTGAACTCGGTCTCTGAACAGTTGTGCCTAGCTACTACTAGTTGTTCTAATCCTCCGTTCTTTCGCTTATCGTTGAAGTCATCATCCATCTCCGATCGTTCTGTGACTGATGGTACCGTGAAAGGTGCTCCGACGACCCATGATCTCAGTGGCGTGTCTTCTTCAGAGTGAGATGCTCTAGTGTAGATGTGCTGCGGTGTTTTTTTTTGCATCAACGGCTTCGACGTGTGACTTCGCATCCAGGTTGGAAACCGCGCGTAGAGCCGTCCACTTGAATATTCCTCGTCGGTCGTCCCCGGCACCGTCTCTCCTATCGAGGAGACAAACGTTCGTAGGATATCGAGTTCAGTTTGGTTTCAATGCTGTGATCGCCTACTGGGTCCCCGAACAGCTGCAATCGTGAAGTGCGAACCGTCCACTCCCGACTCGTGGGCCTCGGCCCCAGAAAGACCTCGTCAGACTGCTCCCACCGCTGCTACTTCCGCACAGGAGCAGTGGAGGATGCTCACCCAACAGCACAAAGGATACCAGGATCTCCCCGGAGGTATGGCCGGAACGATCCAGCAACAAGCATACATGGGAGGCTACATGGGTGGTGGGCAATCGTACGGCTCTTCCCCACCGCCGTCCGGCCAGATGCGGGATATGCGCGAACTTGGCAACACGATGGGTAGCTGCGTCGGAGGTTACGCCTCGTCCGAGTCGCCCGAACTGCACTCGGAACGCACTGTCATTCCACAAGGTCCCACGAATCAGGCTTCACCAGAAAAGTATCGGAGAAATTATTCGCACGCCAAGCCGCCCTACTCGTACATCTCGCTTATCACCATGGCGATTCAGAATAGTACGAGCAAGATGCTAACCCTGTCGGAGATCTATCAGTTCATCATGGATCTGTTCCCTTACTACAGACAGAACCAGCAGAGATGGCAGAACTCCATCAGGCATAGCCTTAGCTTCAATGACTGCTTTGTTAAAGTTCCCCGGACACCGGATAAGCCAGGAAAAGGTAAGGGGATCTCCGCTGACATTCTATCATAGCTCACTCCTTCGAGTACTCAGTGCTCAGAGTTATAATTTAGGCCGATGTCTCGGCTCTGGGCCCTGCGGTCCGCTCCGTGATTGAATTCCCCTCGGTATTCGGAGTCTCTCGGCGCCACGCCGTCTCGTCGGGCCGTCAGGCATATCGTCAGTCGATGTTGTGATTCAGCCCTTGACCATCCGCTATCTCGATGCTAGATTGTCCATTGTTCCCACGCCCTTACTACCGAATGACTGCGCTCTGAATCGAAGGCCAAGCTTTTGGGGGAATCTCTACCGTCTTGGAAGAATTGAGGAAAAAAAGAAAAATAATATATGGTAATAAATAAATTGTCGAGAAAAGGATCGGCACATGATTTTCCAAATCCGCGCGTTCAATTTTCTGTTCGAGGGCATATTGCCGTACGCAATCGAGAAAGTTTCGAATCGCCGTCGAATGTCAACGCGCGCTCTCTTACCATTCGCTGACGGATCCGAACACGGCTCGTGTCTTGAGTAGCCATCAGCCCTTCGGTTTCTCTCTCGTTGAAGAAATTTCGAACGAGGTATGCGTTGAATGAGCACCTTGTATGTACAGAGAGGTTCGAAGAATTCGCCCCCGCCAATGCCCCACCGTCGGATGTTCTTTGGTGATGCACCTGTGAGCTTGGAGTGGGGCAGGGGTTCTGGGCTCTCACCTGACTCGCCGCCGCTTGCAAGCGGGGTCGTGCTCGTTGAAGTTCTGCACCTGTGGTACCCGTCGAAGAGAAGCTCGCGCTCCTCTATTGTTAGGGAACTTTGTGTAGGTGGAGACCTGTACACGTGCGAAGCTTTCTTTCTGAGGCATTTTCGCCCTCTGAGATCGTACTCTACCGAGCTAGCAGGCTGGCTAGCCACCCGCTTTTCATGCAGTGAGCCCTGGCGAAACGCCCGAGCGTATTTCGAGTTCCCCGTTGTCTCTGAGCTTCATCCGTCCATGCGTCGAACCAGCCAATCAACGGCGTCTCGAGAAATCTCGCAATTTGGGTCGCCCACCCCTATGCCAGGGGTCGGCTGGAACTCCGGCAAGAGCTTAGGGGTTCTCAAGATACGACTCGTGCGGTAGTCCCAAATTTTGAATGGGCGAGTTCTTCTTCGGAAAAGATCAGAAAATATTTTTTCTGAAGACGATACGTATCAGTGAACTTCGTTCGACCGCCGATCTGAGAAATGAATTTGTCGACACGAAATTCGAAAATCGAAAAGCATATAGCACGATGAGCGCGAACGTGACCGATTTGTTGGTGCCGTCGGCAGCTCCAACGACAATGTTGAAGTCTCCGATGCGGCTCGGACAAGAAGAAGAACTCGCTCAGCAGCGGCGGCGGCGGCGGCAATCGTTTTTGAAGCCAGGAAGAATGTTAAGACATTCGTTCGTCACTGTTTGAGCTCTGTCGCCATTAACGTCGCCACTCGCTCGGAACTGACGTTTGGAGCAGCAGCGGCGGCGGCGGCGGGCACAGCGACTACAGTGCGACACGGCGAGCGTCATGGTAAGATGCCGGAGCGGGCAACACGCTTTCGTTACGACCTGCCGAAAGTATTGTGTCAACTATGGGTATCCTTCCGAGAGATCAATCAATCGGTCACCGCAAGAGTCATCGGCCGAGATTGCGGTACATCGACAGCGGGTCAACGGCGCGGCGACAATAATAGCGACGCCGCCATTCGCGGAATTAGGCGGGGCGCCGCAACGCGAGCAACCTCGGCGATGGTCAGGAATTCGAGATGTCTAAGTTCCTCGTTCATGAGTTTCAGGATCTTTCTGGACATTACACCCGGACTCAGGCAATATGTTCGAGAACGGATGCTACCTGCGCCGTCAGAAGCGGTTCAAGTGCGAAAAACGCGAAAACCCCCTGACGCGGTCGAGCGGCGCGCACCAAACTAAGTCTTCACATTCAAGCCACAAGAAGCAGGCTGTACTTCAGAACCCACAGAACGGTGGCTCGGAACACACGGCCACAGGGCTTGAGGCCCAGCATCTTCACGGTAACAACTCCTTCGACGCCTTGCAACAGCAACACAATCTCTGGAATCAGAGCCACCTCGGCCATCAAAGTGAGTTTGTTCTCCAGCGTAACGCTCCAGAGCGGTAACTGGGTCTGTTGGCGTGAGCCGAGAGAAGGGGGTGGGGGCAGACCTCTGGGGCCGACCAGGTTTTCACGGCTCTGTCGTTCTTATTCTCAGGCGGAATCGGGCAACAGCTCCCGCAGCAACAGATGTTCGGGGTGGGCGGTATGGACGGCATGCACCCTCAACTGTCGACGCTTGGGATATCGCACGACTTGCTCAAGATCGATCCAACCAACCACCCGTTTAGCATCTCAAACATCATCAACAATGCTGAAAACAAGGCCGACCTGAAACTCTATGAAATGCAGTTCAACCAGTCGTGTTACGGAGCTCCGGTGACACCACCACAATCGCAGGGCAACCAGCATATGGGCTCAGAAACCACTACGCACCACGGTTCCGCGACGGCCCAGAGCGAAAACTACAATAGCTTCCATCCCTCATTATATCAGATGTATCAATCCACGCCCACTAGTTTATAATCAGGCATTTATCGTCAAACGTGACACCTATGAGCATGGCGGACTCAACAGGGCTATACTGTAGAATTTCGGCTGCGAGTTCTTCGGTAGACTCGATCCGACCACCGACGGAGATCCCTTCCGTTTACTTTGAATCAGCTGATTGAATGCTTCTTCATCGTGACAAGAGGCTCCGACTAGGCTTACCGCTTTTTGGTCTGGCGGACCATGCCGCCGAAGCCGATATCCGAGCGGGGCTGGGGTTCAAACCACCGGACTAGAATGTGCCAGGGAAGCTGAGATCTGTACAATGTATTTTCTACTTTTCTTAAGAACATCATCATATCTCAAAGTCAAGTTCTCCCGGCATATTCGGCAGCTTGGCTAGCAGTTGGGGATCCTCTAATGCGGATCGACCGACCATGTCTTTTAGATGGAATGGAGGAGTATTTCAGAATTTTCGCTGGAAAAAGTCACTTCTCGATTGCGTATCCCTCTCGAGGAAAACATTGATCCCGGTGGTGGAGTGCTCTCGAAAAATCCCGCGTGCGATGAAGAATCGATTGCGAGATCGGCAGTCTCCCGGAATCCAAAGTCATCGGAGCCCACGAAAGCCTCACCGGCGCTCCACTGCTCGGATGAAAACCCGGTCGCTCGGAGAGTGGGCGCTAGCAATTCCAGTCAAATCTACAAGTGCAATCAGTTCGAAACAGGATTTCGGTTCGACGTTGATACTTGATGAATTTGCATCTGAGAATGCGGAGTGAGTTTTCCGTGCTATGTAGTTCGATTTGATGGTTCACACTCGGAGCACGACGCGCGTTAAGGGACGTCGCGATCGACCCAGGTGGTGATTCCTCGAACGTCGGCATACGCAACACACTCCTGGGCGCGCTTGAGACAACGATGCTCGACACCGTAGATCTGACCAGACCACCGACTTCTCTAGGCAGGAAACCGGTCTCTTAAAATCTTCTATGTGATCAGAGGATGAGGACTCAATCGGTGGAGAGGAAGGAGATCACGTCTCACACTTGTGAAGAAGAAGAGAGGAATAGACGTCGCGGCTAGCCTCTTTGTATGTACATGTCAGTATTGGGCGTACTGCCAACGCGCGGCCGAGCTCAATGATTGGAGAGTGTCACTCATGCCGGTCGCGCCATGTGTAATCTTTGTGTATATAGATGAAAACTATTAGAAAAATTCTCGGAAGTTGCAAAGGCGAAGCAGCGAGCTCGTTAAAGTTTAGACAGATAACCTAAGGAACAAAGAAGAAGCGAGGAGAAAACCAATGGAACAAAGGAAAAACTACCAGAGAGGAGAGCTTGAGTGGAACAAAATATGAAGGGGAAGATGAACAAGGTGAAATATTCATGAATAAAATGAAGCAGTCTCGCAATCCGCTGTAAATATCATTTTACAAGACTTGGGAATGGATGAAACTGGATCCTAACAAAACAATTAAATAAATAAATAAATAACTAAGAGAGAGAGTGCGTTCACTGAGTGGTCTTGGTAGATGCGTTTTCCCGAGCGAAGCCGGAACCGGGTAGAGCCTGTGGGAGCGAATGTTTCCAGAAAGAATGTTTTCAGTAATGCCTCTCATGCGAACACTCCGACTCCCCGTCAGTTTCGAGGAAGAGTCCGTTGCCGCTTGCTTTCCTATTATTAGATATGATTTTATCTTTTCTGATCACCGAAGCCACGGTGTACATAGCTTGAAAAATTCACTGCCTAGAAGCGTGATTCCGAATTCTCTTCCGGAAAAAATGATGCTCGGTTGCTTGGTTTGTTTGTTCGTCGAAAACGGTAAACGTCTCGAAATATGCATCGATCTAAAGAAGCCTGAAACACAATAGTCGAGTAGCACGGACGAGCTCTGGAATTTCTTCCGAGAGATTTCTTGCCCCTGTTGGAAACTTGGCAAACAATTGAGTATTAGATGCGATCTGCGGAGACTCTCACACCGAACCCGAGAGAGGAACAACCTTGTGATATGAAAGACGAATAGATCGCAGAGTCGCTCGTTTCTCCACCGTCATTGATCGCCAGCTCGAATCAGGCTGGAGAACTCAGCTAGACTTTTTGGGAATCTTGATGACACACCTGTTTCGGTCATTCTTGCCGAGTCTCGAATAGAGTACTTCCTCTCTTCGATCACTCACGCGCACGGTCGGTCACACACCGACGCCGACGTCAAATGCTCAAGCGACTCTACGCGAGAAAGACGATGATGCCTTAAGGCTCTGTGCACTCGAACCAATTTAGATAAGTGCAATTTCGAGTAGAACACCGTGAGAACGAAATTCGTAACAGTAACCGAGTTTCGGTGGAAGCCTCTCTCGCAAGTAGGAGAAGATCTCTCAGGGGTGGTCCCACAGGGTTTCGGCGAGAACTTGCTCCCACACTTTCTTTTTTTATCTCGGGCGGCTATCTTGACAGCCCCAGGAACGTTCTGTCCGACCCGCTCTCCTTTAGCAATACCACAGCTCGGATTTTCGCAGTCAGGAACGCAGCCCACGCAATAGTTATACTCGACGACGAATCGCCCCATGGGGAGAATCGAGGTCGAGCCGAACTTCTCCCAAGCACGGAGCGATACAGAAATCGCGTCGCGAATTTTCGCGTCGATCAACGCCGGGCCCGCTCACCAAGAACCGCAGTGCAAAGGTCGTCACAACCCGTACCGCGTACCGACAGATGCGAGCGAGCGACCTATACCCGTCAGTATCGAGAGCGATTCTTGTCGTGGATCTTATCTCTCTTTACGACATGTAGCTGTGAATAAATAAACCAAAAATATGCTCTAGGCCAGACGAGTCGCTGGATGCCTGCATCGACGGATCTGGCTCTGATCCGTTCAGACTAGGCATTCGATTCAGTACCTACCAGCCTGACCCTCGAGCCGGTCCCGTTTCGGGATCAGCCCCACGTCGGATCTCTGGTCGCTCAGTCAGCCCCATCGTCGACGGTACTGACTACGATCAGAATAAAAGGAGTTTGCGCGCGGTGAGCAATTTCGACAACAGCAAGTGCCGCGACGACGAGCGTTCGACGTCTGTGCAAACACGGCAGGCAGGCTGCTTGGTCGCTCGGCTGGCTGTCCCTTCGTTCGTTATCCTCAGCTCACCTCGATATCCGCTCGACCCACTCCGTTGACGGCTTTTGAGCTTGCTTCCGTGCATCGGGCTCCTGACCGTCGACCCGGGGAAAAGTTCTCTCCGGATCGCAGACATTCAAATTTAAAAGGTAGAAGTCTGTAGAAACAAGTTTCTGAACTCAATCCTATCGGGGCTAGGTATATATTTTTTTCATCCCTCAGAACAATATACTGGTGAATGATCAGGTAATTTTCGGTTATGGTTTGGGCTGTGCACTCTATGCCCTGCACATTTTCTTGCCTTTAGGCATATCCCAATCGTTTCAGGACATATGTTTCCGACCTGTCCCGCACTTGGAGCGTTTTCCGGGGCTTCCCTGTGCTTTCTGCCTTCGATGAAGAGATGGGAGTGCCGCCTTGTCAATGAAACGGGTCACCGATTTCCATGCACAGTTCTCTGCATAAAACGGACAGCCTTAATTATGGTATTCGGAATCCTCAGTTATTATTCTCCGTCTCTCTCGTCAATATTTCACTCCGGCTCGAAGCTGAGGATTCGAGGAGATGCAATCGAAGGGAATCAGGGAAAGCATCTGTGTGGGAATCTTTTTCCATATCGTGATTCGCTATCTGTTGTCGACTGTTGACGTTGTGTGGAGCGGAGCCGCCGGCGACAGGTTCCGGTCGGTCGATCCTCGCTTCGAGTGCTCGCCGCTCGCTAACAACTGAAATACGTGTGTGGGACTACGCAGGCAAGGCCGTCATCGAGACAATGCAGGACGAGTCAGACCGCGTGCCGTCCTGATTCACGAGTCCCTTTACGCTGCTGCTGTTGTTGTTGTTGACGGTATAGTCGGCGCTTTGTGACTCACAAGCGCGTCTCTCGAAGTGCCGTTGCTTCCATGTTGACCAAGGGCGGATTTCTGTTCCGTTCATCCGCCTGTCCGTCCGATCGTCGATTTGTCGATATCAGCCTATCCATGAGGCAGACGAGCTGTTGTTGCTGTCGACTCGAACGCTCATCCGACGCGCAATCCCAGGCGGCAACGATTGGGCCGACACACCTCTTCCGAATGCCTCGACTTGCAGCGATAAGCGGAAATTATTCCTCGTCTCATCATTCAACACCGCTGGCTGTAACCTCTCGTCCGTTCCGCTGGCAGAGAGCGTACCTGGCAACAGCTGCCTCTAAGGAACGTCTTTGCCTGGCCCCGATTGCCTGATATTAACGCCACCGTCAACAGTACGACGACCGTGTTTATTCAAAGGGAGGAGATGATAACATTCAACGAGAGGAGATAGTGCCGATCTGTGAGCAGCGTGCCCGACGCGGGGGAAAACGGGGTATTCTGTGCACAGAGCACTTCCGACGTTCTAACCCGTAGAGTTCCTCAGTTAGGGAGAGGCATTTTGCGTGTGCGCTAGAAACGACTGAGCGGTTTTCTCCGAAGAAGAAACTGGATACCACCGAGCGGCCTAAGGGCTTGCTCATTCGATCGCGCAGATATTCATGAAATGTCCTACATCTGGCAGAGAAAGAGTTGGGATGCGTATTTCGGCAGAGAGGGAGGTAGAAAGACGGAGAGAGAGAGCGAGCTTGTGGGATTGGCGCCAAGCAGTCTCGGGACGAAGCCTGTTGCCGTCATCGTCTTAGAATTCTAGGAGGTCTCAATGTGCAAACAGAGTCCGAAGAACGCAAAGAATTCGCTGAAACGTCTGGGCAGCACACTCGGAGCTTCGGCCGATTCAAAATATTCGACGGAGAACGTCGTCCGAAGCGAGGGTGCATGCTCGGTTTCTGAGGCTCATCTGTCTTTATTTCTACCTCCCTCACCTAGCTCGGGGAGGACTAGCGTCGGAGATTTCGTTGGCCGTTCGTGAACTTCTTTCGATTCGTATGATGCTGTTAGAGAGACCAAGATTCCTCGTCGGACTGATAATTGAGCGCTCCGTTCGCGAATGAACCGGGAAGGGAATTTCTGATTTTTTTGCCTTTAGATCGAAAACAACCATGCCGCTATCGAGGGAGACCGAACATCAACGCAATATTACGACAACGGATTCGCGCGAAAGGGGGGGGGAACAACAAGACGTGCATTGGAGCGATTCGAGGCCGAAAGTAAGATGAAGTTCAGTACTGCATCTGCGCACTGAATTCTGCATGATTGATCCTCCCTGACAGCGGAGAATAGTTTCAAGAAAACTCAGGGCGATTCGACCTCGGACGCTCCCCTTCCTGTCTTTCTTTTTGTTTTGAAATCAGAGACTGGTCCTTGGCTCCTCGATTCGAATCCGGCCCCGAAGTCGCAACGGTAAACACGGAATCGGACATCTGGACGGAATGGAAGAAACGGGAATTTCGACCGAATGGGGAGCACAGAAAGCGTGACCGAAT